GCAAATTTACTTAGATTTGATCCCAAACCAGGTTCATTCTGCCCTCATGCAGACAGCCAATTACTGAAATGACAAGTTTTGTAGTAGAGAAAAAATTTATTCACAGGACAGCCAGGGAAGGAGACAGTAGAACAGCTCTCAAATCCACCTTCCTGAAGATAAGACTTAGGAATATTTATTAAATAAAGAAGTAGGGTGATAAAGAGCATGTGGAAAGGTAATTGGCAATGTGAAAAAAATGTAATCATTGATCCTGCACTAAGCATAGTCAGGGTTCATGGCTCTTCACGGGCCACATGTTCAGAAAATGGCAGCATTAGCATGATCTGAGGGTGGAGTTTTGGGGTCTCTGACATCAAAAGGTCACTTTTCAGACATATGTGCAAGCTCAGCCAGAGGGTCTCAACTGGTTTGAACTGGACAGGGGCTGCTGCAAGTTCCTGAAAGACATCTTAAGCAATCATTACCATGGAGACATATATGTCAGAGGTATTATTTAAAAGGAAGCTAGTGAAGGCTAAGTTATAGTGTTTAGTAGCGTGGCTTTCAGTTATATGGGTTAAAAAAAAAAAAAAAGAAGCAAGCAACTTGATTTCATATTGAACGGTATTACATATCCAATCTGAATAGGTTTATACTCACTCTCACACAGTTGAGACAGCCTGAAAAAAAAAGAAAGAAAGAAAAAGAAAAAAAAAAGAAAGAAAGAAAAAGAAAAAAAAAAGAAAGAAAGAAAAAGAAAAAAAAAAGAACGAAAGAAAGAGCATAGCCCCAGGAGTCAGTACATTGTGCTGTTTTTTTCTGCCACCAGCTCAGTGGGTAACCTTGAGTGAATCATTTGTCCTCTCAGGACCTCAACTTCCACATCTGTATGTAAAATATAGCTTTTGGATATTTCTTCAAATTTTGAAATTCTATAAAGTTGCTGTAAATGTTGTGCCATGTGAACTCTACACTACTTTTCTATAATATCAGGTCAGGCTATGACTTCTAGAAGTATAGCTAAGAGGTGCAAGGATGTGTCATTGTGGTGTGAGGCATAATCAGAAAAATTACTGCCTCATCCCCTGGACAGGAGAAGTATACAATTCCCAGAAGAGACAGGAAAAGGAGGTGAGGAGCACTATATGCTTCAGACCAGTAGGGGTTATTCCTTTTTCTTTAAAACAGACTTGCATTGTGTCTGGGCCCTTGCTTCTCTGTGAACAAGTTCTCTGTGGATAACACTACGTGTTTCTGTAGACAAAAGCTTCCCAGTGTGGTTGTCTGATGAATCCACCAAGAGGCAAAACTTTACATCTTCTGCTGGAGCCTACAAACTGACTTGAAATACCTTCCCCAGAGGGCCCTCTAAGGAGGAGTCTTGATGGGAGAGACTATCCCAGGTAGACCCAGTCAATCATCCAGGATGGGTTCAGGGCCCTTGATGGGTCTAACCACATATGAGGGTATTAAGGTTCAAAAAAGAGTAATAGAGGGATCCTGTTCTCCAGAAGTCTAGGGCCATTCTCATTAAATGATAAATAAAAAGAGAAAGCCCTGCAAAGTGAATGCTGAGCTAGGTGATAAGAAGCATAAATGCTGGAGGGGCTCACAGGCAGAGAGGCATTATGGGCCAGAGCATTTGGATAAGGCTCTGCAACAGAGGCGGTCTGGAGCAGGCCTGAGGGGGGTGGGTTTGAGGATGGACAGAAATTAGTAAGCCGGGTATTCCTGTGGAAAGTCTGACTGACCATCTCCTGTAGGCCCAGAAAATGCTCTGGTTTCTCTCTGATGCTTAAAATGCCAGTCTCTAAGACCCCAGAGAAATAAACCTCTGTACCACCAACCATCTGCAGATGCCCCTTCTGAAGATCAGAAGATAATTTTCAAAGTTGTTGAAGAACATGATCTGAGTGTGATGACCCAAGACACAGTACCCAGATACAGGCCCAGGTTGTTCACTCTGAGAGGTGGACAACCTCCACAAATGATACTAAATAATTTCTCAACTTATATTCCACAACGATTAAAAATTGTTTGGGGTTCAGAGGCAAAGGCCAGATGACTCTCTTCTTGTGTCCTCTGAGGGCATTGACCTGTAAAACCAGCTAGAGAGGGGCCAGAGGCATCCTCACTAAACTTTCAAGCCAAAGTTAGGGGCCTCCTTCATCATCATCAGGGTATTAGGGCTCCCAAAGAACATTTTCTAAATAACCAAAGTTAAATTATTCAAGTGCTAGGAATTTTTTCTGTTTTTGAAATGTAGCCAAATCTTTCAAAAATACATATATACTTCCTCTGTACTCTCAAATTAGAATGTTCTTAAATAATTTTAAACTTCTTTGATGAGGATGTTCATTTAATGAGAACATGAATTAATGTGTTCTGTTGTCATACACGTGATGTTCTCAGGCTTTGAGATGTGTGGTATTGATACTCTCTACCCGAAATGATCTCAGACTCCTAAGCTTCTTGGTTCGTTACATCTGTATTTTATAATTATTGTTTCCTTTTTCATTATCAGATTGTCAGATGTCTCCAGAATGGTTGGTGTGGCTATCTCTAACAACAATTCAATCTACTATTACTTTGCTTCTTCAAATCTACTGTTTTCAGAAGCACAATATAAGAATGTTTATGAAAATCATTTGCAAAGCAGAAGAAAGCTTTAAATTAAGACTTAAATGTCTCTCTGAGTGATATTCATGAATTTTAAATAGAGAATTTTATTACTTTCCTTTCCCTTCACTCAGTGTCCCATATGAGACCAGTTGGTAGGGAAGAATTGTAGTAACATCTTCAATGAACACAATCATGAGGAAGTCCCTGGGTATAAGCTGGTTGTTTGGTGCAGACTACAATTACTGACCCCCAAGACTGAGTACATTTCCTATGTTTTGCACACTTGTAGAACTGTTTCTTTAATTCAGAAAACAGAAATGTTTGGCATCTTGAAAACATAGTAATACTTGCAAACATAAATAATAAATTTACTTGTGATTATTTGACTGGTGTTGGCATCCCCCAGTAGACTGTAAACCCCAGGAACATAGGGACCATGACTGATTTTGCTCACCATTATATCCCCAGCATCTAATCTAGTAGGTGCCCAATACATTTGTGGTGAATGACTGAAAGAACACATGGCAAGTCCAGAGCCCAGAATTCTGGTTCTACTGGTGCTATCTTGTGTGACCTTGGACAGAACACTAAACTTCCTCTGACTCTCTGTTACTGCATTTGGAAGAGGGTCTTCAACAAGATCATGAATTGTTCATGCACTTTTAGATTTCTATTTTTTTGTAACACAAGGAAAGGAATACAAGATATCATGACAGAAGATGGCTCACTGGGGAGCTGGATGGGAGGAAGTGGCAAGGATTGGTTGGCTGAGTATCCCTAGGAAATGGCAGGAATAACTCCTGGTTCTGAGAAATGTGATTTCTCTAAGTTGATCTAGCCTTTGGAAAAACTGTGAAGGGAAAGAAGTTTCTCCGTAAAACTTCCTTTCCCCTTCTGCATCCTCTTCTTAAGTCCCAACACCCACCACCACCACCATCACCATGCCACCACCTCCAATAAATCCATGTCATCATATCTCCCATTAGGCCTTGCCTGTAAATGTGGGATTAAATTCATTCATGTATAAGCATTTTTAGGAACTTCCTATTACTGTACTCTCCTGACACCAGATTTTGCATTTTCCAACTAGCCTGTTATAGGGAATGTTCCATTCATATCATTTAATTTGTAAAGACTGAACTTCAGGCAAGTGGGGTGGGGAGGACTTTTTAAAGTGGTCACAGGGAGACTTTCATAAGGTTCTTAATCTCACCCAGAAGTGCTACTGGTCTGCCAGCCCCACCTCAGTGCCTGGCTCCCAAGAGCATAATGAATATCCAAGTGCACAAACTCAGTTTCTACACACCATTTTGTAATCAAAGTCTTCATTTGGGTACCCTACCTCTGAGCACAAGGACTAGGATAAGGCAAGTGAGGAATTCACCTTGGGAACAGAATTTAAGAGGGCTCCAAGAAGCTCAGAATCAAGATAACACTTTAATGCAACACTTTAAAATCAAAATTGAGGCAAAAACCCATTATGAACAAGACATCAAATTTTTAATAAGGCAGGATAAGTATTATTGACTTTTTTCTTTTAGCTCAGGCTCCAATATGGCTCAGCTTGGTACTTCCTCTGACTCTCACTTCCTTCAATTCTGATGAAACACACTGAGAGTGCACATAATGGAACGTGCAAAGGAGGCACATTTGCGCTGATTGCATCACTCTGTGTTGGGAGCTCTCTGGGACAACACTGATGGCCCAGGCCAGGGCTGCAGCCTTTCAAGAACAGAAAGGGACCCCAGGAGATACTGCCCCTCAGGATGAGTCCTGGAGCTTTGGTTCAGTTCCCAAAGGCCCAGAAAGAGGTTCTGATTCTGGCACAGCACTGCTGTTCTCTGTTAAAACCATTACTGTTCTACATATATAAATGGCAAAGCCCTATACAGGGTGTTCACCCATTCCACCCCGAGTACTGAAGATGAGATCTCAGCCATGAAACAGTGAAATACTTAACTTCCTGCTCCCCTAAACCTTCCTGTCATGATAAAAGCCATAGACAAACATTATTGATTGTTTGCTATCACTCAAAGAGCAAATGCAAGGAGGGGGAATAAGGGAGAGATTTATCTTTGTTGAGCTGAGAGAACATGATAAACTGTTACAGGGAAGGTTCTGTGTCCTGAAAGACTTACAGTTATTCCTGAGAATCCCCCACCTATTATCCCTCAAGGAGCGCTGGGGTGGGGTGGGGCGGGGAACATTTCATCAGTGCTGTCAGTCAGACATGGCTGCCTTGGGGTAACTCAGCTCTCCTCTGCTACGTAGCCAGGGAAAGAATGCCAAAGAAGGAATGCTCCTTAATTTAAGTGAATTGGAGGATATTTTTGTAATGAAAATTAATCCTTTCTGAAAATAAATGACAGCAGGGGGCCCACTCCTGAACCAAGTACCTGTACTGTATAACGGCTGTGGCCAGACCAAAATCTGTAAGCCTCCTGGTGCTGCAGAGGCAGGGTTGATCTCAGGCATCCCATAGGTGATCTTCCCCAGCTCCTGGTGCCTCAGCAGCATTGCCTCCCACCCACAGTCCCAATATCCATCCTGTGTCATCTCCACTGGCCTTTGGTAAGAAATTAGAGACCAAGTTTAGTAACGATCTCTCACAATTATTTTTTCATTTTATTAGATTATTGATTGATAAGAATTTTAAGGAATCTCTTAATAGGCATTTGTAATAGGCAGTAAGTAGATATTCTGTGGCTGGAGATCCTGTGACACATGCCCTGGGCGGGTAACTTCAGCCCCTGGGGATGGTCACAAGTCAGTTAAACAGAAAAACTAAAAGCCCTGACTAACTTGCTGACTTCCGCAGTGTCCTTGCATGGGAGATGTAGAGAAATTGGAAACACTCTCAGAGGACAAGGTTTGCTTAGTACATGATGCCTTTGCCCTTGATATTTCCTCTGTTTGGAATATTTTCCCCTATATCTGCCTCAAATTTCCCTTCTATAGTAGGCAGAATAATGCTCCCCTCCCCCCATATGTCCACATACTAATCCCTAGAACTGTGAATATGTTAGGTTTCATGGCAAGAAGAATTAAGGTTGCAGATGGAATTAAAGGGCTAATCAGCTGACCCTGAGTCGGGGATTATCCAGGTGGGCCCAATATCATCACAACGATCCTTATAAGTAGATCGTTGAGACAGCCATGTTGGAAGGATCTGAACTGACATTAACTGCCTTGAAGAGGAAGGAATGGGGATGAAAGTCAAGGAATGTGGGCAGCCTCTAGAAGCTGAAAAAGACAAGGAAATAGAATCTCTCCTACAGTCTCTAGAAGGAATGAAGTCCCACTAACACCTCTCTGTCAGCCCAGGAAGACTCACTTTGGACTTCATACCTCAAAAACTGTAAGAAAATAAATTTGTGTGGTTTTTAAGCCATCAAATTGGGGGTAATTTGTTACAACAGTGGTAGGAAACAAATACACCTCTTTAGCAGTTGATCTCAGCTCCAACATCATCTTCCTAATAAGACTTTCCTTGACAGCCCTTGCTTGCTAAAATATCTCCCAAACCACCAGGCATTTTCTATAACGCACTTTTTGTTTGCTGATGATTATCTAAATTTATTGTATTTCCATTTTATCGCTCTTCCCTCTCATAAGAATGTAAGTTCTAGAAAGGGTGGGATTTTGTTGCTCTTATTCACCTATGTATCTCCATCGCTTAGGACATGGGAACATAGTAGACATTCAATTAATATTTGCTGTGTGAATGAGCCGTAAGGTAACGAGGACCATAAAACTCATGCCCTTCTAAATCACAATTAGAGGGCAGCTGTTAGAAGAGTCCCAAACCCAGTAAGTCCTGTGTTGCAAGGAACTGTCCAGTAGAAAACAGGAATAAAAACAGAATTAGCAAGAATAATATGAAATCAGTTGCTTAATTCCAGGCAGTGGAGGCAGAAATCTTGAATAGTAAATACTCTCCGTGAACAAGTGCAGACAAGAGTTCCGTGATTGCCAGTAAGTAATCAGTTTGGAAAGACCAGAGAGGGGTCAAATATAGGTAAACTGAGTTAATCACATAAACTGCTCAATCATCACAATTCTTAAAAGATCACACACAAAAATACATTAACAGAAGAAAAATAGTAAAACAGGACAAAACAGTAAAATTACTTTCTTTTACTACTGATGGGGCAGTTTTCTACTGGAAATTCTGAAAAGTATCAGGTTCAGCTAAAGACTGCAGTGTTGATCACCTCTCCAGTTTTCCTAGTCTGAAATGAAATAAGCAGACCTGGTACTTAAAAAGACACTTTAAGAAAGGGCTGGCCCCAGAGAGGCAGGATCCGCCTACCCCAGTGAGTGAGGCCGTCCTGACACCTCGTCAACATTCTGGTGTCAACATTCTGGAAAACGGCCTCCAGGCTCATTGCTCCGCCTAGAGCCGCGCCACCTCCAAAGGGTAGCACCGGCTACCCGCTCCGCAGAGCCGACTCCGAGCAGCGCAGAGCTGGAGGGTCGTAGTCCCGAGGGGACCTGAGCGCTCACTCAGTCAGCCAATGGCCACGGAGCTAGGGCGGGACCTGAGAGTATCCTGCCAATGGGAGTACGGCAGGGCTGGAGGCTGGAGTGCCAGGGACTCAGGGCGGCCGTGGCGTTCGCACCCCCAGCTCGGGCAGATGTGGAAACTTTGGGGAGGTGAAGAGGGCGCAGCGGCGCTCGGCGGCGCGCTCTTCTTGCTGCTTTTCGCGCTGGGGGTCCGCCAGCTGCTGAAGCTGAGGAGGCCGATGGGCTTCCCTCCGGGGCCGCCGGGGCTGCCATTTATCGGCAACATCTATTCCCTGGCCGCCTCAGCCGAGCTTCCCCATGTCTACATGAGAAAGCAGAGCCAGGTGTACGGAGAGGTACCGCTCCGACGGGTCCCGGGCAGGGAGGGCCGCTAGACTGGCCCGGGCTGGCCAGGGCCTTCCTGGTTGGACTTATGGCCGCTCGTGAGCCGAGTAATAGGGACCTCTCCACATGCCGGCTGCCCGTTGAGGGACATCCGCTTCCAGGCTGTGGAAGGGAGAAGTCCTCGACGCCGTGCCCCCTGCAAGGGGAGCCCCGCCCCTGCCGGTGACCCACTCCGGGCCGAGGCCCCGAGGCGATCCAGGCCTGATTTTCCCGCTACCGCTCGAGTTCTTGCTTCTGCGCCTGCGCCGTTTGGCTCGCCGGCCGCGGAGCCACTTCAGGTCCAGGTTGGACCCCTGCCCTCAGGGCGGGCGTCTTGCGAGTCGGCCTCGCAACTCTGTGGAAGCTGCACGCGGCTTGTCGGAAAATTAAGGCGTTCTAAATTCTAGATGGTTAATAACAGGTTCTTCGGTGTTTGCAGTCGATGAACTACTGGTGTAGGCGTTTGCTGTGAGAATGGAGAACGCAGGGGAACGCCCCTAACTGAGAAGCTGGCCCTGGGAAATGATTGTGAACGCGTGAATGAATTGATGACTAAAATCCGCTGCGGGGGTCCCACAGCACAGATGGCAATGCCGTTCTGACTGGCTGGGAACGGCCCCTTAGCAGATACTTAAAAGGCGCCTTCTGTGTGCCACTGTCACTGCCAACTTGGTGACTCATTTAAAACTCACAACCAGCCCGTGAGGTCGGTACTTAGCTCCTCCTCAATCTGCGGAGGAGAAAGCAGCACGGAAATGCCTTGTGACTGGCAGCGGAAAAGGCGACCCCCGCATGTGTGTGGGTGTCCTGAAGTCCGGAGGGGGCAGGAGTTTCCACGGGGCCTGACCAGAGCTTTACCTGTTTTGTTTTGTATTACACTTATTTATATGCAACTACAGGCCTGACGCTAGCAGTGAAAAAGGCAGATACAGCCTTTTAAGGAGTTGGCAGATGAGTGGGAGAGAAAACTAATCTCTTTATCGACCACAGGCTGTGGTCAGTGTTTTGAAGGAAAAGTACAGGGATGTTTGGCAACTGTGGTATTTCAGGTTTGACCTTAAATCCTTACTTAAACCAATTTTTACAAGAATTGGGCTAGGTGCCCGGGCGCGGTGGCTCACGTCTGTAATACCAGCACTTTGGGAGGCCCAGGCAGGCGGATCACGAAGTCAGCAGATCAAGACCACCCTGGCTAACACGGTGAAACCCTGTCCGTACTAAAAAAATACAAAAAATTAGCCGGGCGTAGTGGGGGCGCCTATAGTCCCAGGTGCTCGGGAGGTTGAGGCAGGAGAATGGTATGAACCCGGGAGGAGGAGCTTGCAGTGAGCTATCTCGCCACTGCACTCCAGCCTGGGCGACAGAGCAAGACTCCTTCTC